AACGGGAAGAGTTGTCATTCCTGACTGTCTTGGCATTACCATATGCCTCTAGCAGAGGGTTGGCAGCAACAATTTGGTCTTCCAGGGAGCCCTACAAGATGAGTTGTTTACATAAATATGTTTAAATGGTCAATTGTAAATGCCGTGTAGTTGTACAAGACTAAGGACCCTAAAGCACTTTACACTACATTCAGTCATTTATCAATTCATGCACACATTCACACAATGCCCATTTAAGCAATATTTTGAGGAAATGTTACTGCCTAAAACACATATAATTACCTGCATTTTGCTAGTGGGCTGAGCGTCCTTTTTGCCACCCAGAGCTGCAATTGTTGCAAAGTACTGGATGACACGCTTGGTGTTGACAGTCTTTCCAGCACCAGATTCTCCGCTGTGGTACAAGAGACACATTTTAACTCTAATTTTTAGTACTGTTCATGAGAGAGACATCAATGCAGTTTTTTTAATGTACTCACGTAATCAGGATAGACTGGTTCTCACGATCTGCAATGTACATAATATTTTAGTAACTGTATTAATTGATGTGAACATGGATAGATTTCCTCTATTCACTTTTTTGAAAACTATTATGGGGAGCTTTGATCTCACCTGTGTGCATGAACTGATAGGCATTGTCAGAGATGGAGAAGATGTGGGGTGGGGCTTCAATCCTCTTCTTGCCTCTGTATCCTGATACAACAACAGCATCATATACAGGAAGCCACTTGTATGGATTCACCACCACGCAGAACAACCCAGAATATGTCTGTAATAGCAGATGACATAAATAATGTTTGTCTTTTTCATGCATAGTAAGAAAGGATTTTTGCTTTAAGACTATTTTTGACTGTGATGGAAACTCACGTAGATCATCCATGATGCAAAACGCTCTTTGAGGTTATACAGCACACAAGGCTCATTAAGGTGGGTCATCATGACCATGTCCTCAATCTTATCATACTTTGGAGGATTCCTTGGGTGAATCTCATCCTCTTTGACTGTTACAGTCTATTAAGAAATAAGCATTGTGGTTATGTCTTTTAAAATGTTCAATTTAAAGATTATCTTTTAAGAAAAAGCTAAAAATTCTAGATTCATGTATCAGATGTAAGCAGTCTGTAAATAGTGAATTTATCAGATTTACCTTTCCTGTATCTGTTTCAACAGTGGCTTTGCCACCCTCTCTCTTCACAAGTTTGCATTTGAGGTACATCTCATCAGGATCTACCACAAAGAAAGCTGACTTTGCATCGAATGGAGTTGTCTGGGCTTCAATCCTCTCCTTTTCAGGCTTCCGGAGGTATATGGCCGCCGGGCCATACTGCTCCATCTCCGCATCTGTGCTCATGGTGGCACTTTTGTTGAGACTGAAAATATAAGTTCAAATGAGTCCATAATAGAGTTAGCATGTTTATATTCTTCACGTTTGCTTATTCATTCATTACCTCCGCTAGATGGAAAGAAGAATATGGACTGTAGCCTGGGCTGACCTGTAAAGATGCTGGGAAAAAAAGACATGTATAATGAGTTCTGTATTAGAAGTTTGTAAGGTTAAAATATATCAAAGACAAACATCACATACAGCAAAATGTTTTCTTATATAAAATTCTAACCCTTCTCCTTTGTATCTTCCCTACAGCTATATCAAAATCTATTTTCTTTATAAAGCAAATGTTAAAAACAAATATATTTAACCAACCTGCTTTGCATTACTAAAATAGGTCAAACCCAAACACGTAATTACAACAACAACAATAATAATAATAATAATAATAATAATAATAATAATAATAATAACAATAACAATAACAATAACAATAATAATAATAATAATAATAATAATAATAATAATAACAATAATAACAATAATAATAACAATAACAATAATAATGGCATCATATTAGTTACTGCAACATTTAATATCCCTTTGGGATCAATAAAGTATTTTTTTGAATTAAATTGAACAATTACAATAATGCTAATTGCTATTAGAGACAGACTACTGGCCTTATACACCAGCACCATGTAACCTATTTACTTATTAATGCAATGACATTTATTTAAAGGCAACCAATGTTTAACCATAACACATATAATGGAATCTAACATGAAAATATGTTCCAATATGGATTTTAGGGAACTGCACAATAAGGAAACATAAATATGATGAAATGCCATCATGATAAAACAGGTTTAGCATTCATGTAAAATCAAGGATAAAATATAACACAAGAATATATTGCATAAACAAGAGCTATGACTAACATCTTAGTGAATGCACATACCTGTCACTGCTGCCTATCAGTTCAGGCAGAAGTCTGAAGCTCCTTCCTTTATAGAGGGTGGGAGTGCCTTGTCAGCAGTTGCCACTCACCTAGTTTGGGCATGATCTCTAATTAACATCTTGTTAAAATTTGTAGAAATTATACAAATTATATATACCTTCATAGCTTCATGTTTAGAAAATATTTTTCTGTCATATTATAAATATATTATGATTTTTGGGATTAGACATTTTAAGGATGCAACAATTTCAGAAAAGGTTCAAATTAAATATCTGAGATGCACTATGTTAGGAAACAATAAACCCCCCAAAAAAGATTGACTTCATGTATGAGATAAGGAAAATCAGGGAAATAGTAGCACATAAGTGTTTATGGATAAGAGCCACAAATAGATTCAAAACATGGTCCACTACAGTCTCGACATCAGAAAAATTAAGTGCTGACAAAATAAAGGTATTCATTTTACAGTCCAAAATGGGGCTTAGTAAGGACCCAAAAAATATAGATATTTATTTAACAAGATGAAAAACCAAGACATGCTGTGAACATTTAAAAGCTTTTACAGCCATGAGCTGCTTTTGCAGTTGTTTTGGAAAGATGACAAGGTTCCACTGATATTCAGTTCCCAACCACATAAACATATGAAATGGTTTGCTGCAAAGTTTAGCTTTAATCAAAACCATGATAGATAGATCATATGAAAATATATTTATAGTACTTTAATGCATCATATAAATTATATATATATATATATATATATATATATATATATATATATATATATATAT